AGAGGCCTGGGGCTCTGCAGCAGACGACGGAGAGGCCTGGAGCTCTGCAGCAGACGATGGAGAGACCTGGAGCTCTGCAGCAGACGACAGAGAGACCTGGAGCTCTGCAGCAGACGACGGAGAGGCCTGGAGCTCTGCAGCAGACGACGGAGAGACTTGGAGCTCTGCAGCAGACGACGGAGAGACCTGGAGCTCTGCAGCAGACGACGGAGAGGCCTGTGGCTCTGCAGCAGACGACGGAGAGGCCTGTGGCTCTGCAGCAGACGACGGAAAGGCCTGTGGTTCTGCAGCAGACGGCGTGGGAGCCTGGAGAGCTGCAGCGGAGGCAGGAACCGACTCCTCTGCGGTGGCGACAGGAACCGATCTTCTGCGGCGGCGGCAGCGACGGGAAACAGAAACTGATGCTGAGTCCTCTGAGGCGACAGGAGCAGGTGCACCAACGGCGAGGCACTCAGCAGGCGGAACAGCGGCGAAGGTGATGGGTGCAGGAGTCAGAGGAGCAGAGGAGAGTTCAGAGTGTGTATAAGTGACCTTGGGTGTGATGAGAGTCCTAATTTCTATTAATAATCGATTGTACTCAGGGATCAGAATGAGGCCTGGCCGTAAAACTAAAAATTCCTCCATCAGGGAAAATAAAACATCTGAGCAGTCCAGGATATTTTTAGCAGAAGTAAACAAATCTAATAAAGTCTGGTTTATGTATGCAAGATCATGGGGTGAATAAGTGATTGACGGGCAAGTGTCACTATGTGAGGATGTGGTGTCAGGTGTCGCCCCCACCGGAAACCTGGGAGGTGGGTCGGCGGAACATGCCCCCACAGAGTCACTGGGAGAATGCCCAGGAGGCACGGTCTGACTGGGTTGGACAGCCGCGGCACGGTGTGACGGTGGGAGGCCGGATTCCGCCCCCACCAGGAACCTGGAAGGTGAGGCGACGGAACCCGCCCCCGTAACGTCACGTGGACCGGACTCGCCGAACCGAACAGGAGTGGACCGGAGCTCCCGTGGGACGCTGGACCTCGCCGCCACCGGAAACCTGTGAGGTGAGGCGGCGGGACCAGCTCCCACAAAAACACCGGAACCAACTCTATGATTCTGCTCAGCCGACGAGGCCCGGCCGGGCGCCGCAGACTGCCCCCGGGACCACTTTCTACCTCCCCGGCGACGGTGGGATAGTCGGGGGACAGGAGCAAAACAGAACTCATCCTCGATTTCTTCGTCCTCCCCCAACGTCCATCCCGAGTAGCCGGGCGAGGCGGACTCAGAAACAGGAGCCTGGTGGGTTTTCCGGTGCCGAGCTCTATTCTCCTCGAGGACCAGGAGTGGAGAGGACAGGATTACCACCTCCTGGTCATAATGTCCTTGAGGACGGACGGGCCTGGTGCAGAACCCGCCGCACCGGATTGTAGTCTTGTTCATCATGGGAGGATGAACGGAAGGCTCGGAGGGGAAAAAGAAAAAAGGTGAGTTGCCGAGAGAATCCTGCCCGCTGGGTTCTGATGTGTGGTCGGGTCGTAATGTCAGGATTTTGTGGACAGGAACGAACCCAATGTGCAGACAGGACT